TAAATGTATTAAATATAGTCGGATATTTAATTAATTATTTTAGGTATTAGTTTTTAAAAAATTATAAATAAATAAAATAATATATATTTTTTACCATGCGTATGGTGTGCTCTCTATGGCTGATTGATCCCCCGTATATCTAGAAGGACTAGCTCCGACTCCACCGGACTCGCTTCTACGGTTCCGTGCTACCATCTCGGATCTAGTAATAATCTCGGGTTTCGTCCATTTCGTAGTCCATGCATCCCATATTTCCTGTGAGATATATGTTGGCTTCGGTTTTTTTCTTAGACGACAAAGGAAGTGAAAATATCGCTTCCGTGCGAGACTTTCCCATGATTTCTTAACTATGCTCTCATTCAAATCATCATCCCACTTAAATGATTTACGCCAAAAAAATAATAATAAACACTACTAAATTTACTTTCATATTATTTTGTACAATTTAATTAAATATTAAATAATATAATTAATCAAATAAAATTTAGAAATTAGAACCTTAAATTCTTCCCGGTAAAACTCTTATCTCTCGGACTCATTTTTTTCCACATGCATCCCGAAGAATGAACGTACTCTTGGAATGGCTTAACGATCGAGCGAGAGCAAACACTAGAGGGATACAACCTACAAAAAAATAAAAATTAATTAAATTCATAAATAACAATAAAAAAATATTTAATTAAATTAAGCATAAACCGTACTCATTGCGCCCAATGACAATGACCCGTACTCGATGGTCAATCGCAAATGTTAGTGGTTCCGAAGCCGATTGACGTAGGACATTGTGGGGTGGAACATGTTTAGGAACGGAATGGTATTCCTAATGTGATGACGAAGGCACCGACGATGACGACGGAAAAGATGAGGGAGGTTGACGTAGAGGTTCAAAAGGTCGAGGCTAAGACATGACGGGCATAGAACGAGATATGGAGGGGCCACCGAAAGAGTGGTACGGAGGCATATCCGGTGGGGGATCTATCCGATCGTGAGCGAAATAAGAAGGGTGTCTACGACGTTCACGATCACCGTCGGACCGATCGGTATCTAAACCATGACCCCTACCTCGAGTCATTATGACCTACATATTAATTATTAAATTCAATAGTTGTTAAATAAAATATGAATTATATAATGCATATATACTTATATATAACATTCAAATTAATATGAACTAATTGATTTATACTAAACAACAATAAATCATAAACATTTATTTAATTAAATCTTACCTTTAAAAATTATATGTTAACTATGTATGTAAAGATACGAATAAACCTAATTTTTTTCCTAAAATTGTGACGAACGAGAACGGTACCTCGGAGATTTATTAAAATAGTTTGAAAAATTACACTTGGGGGACAAAACCAGCCTATCCCAACATCCTAGGAGGACAAGGTTGTCGAAACCCTTAAATTCGAACAACAATTAAATAAAATCCAAGTGCATAATTTATGAATTGAATAAAAAATACAATATAACATAATCCAATGTGATATATCATATTATCTCTAATCACTATCATTATAATCATTATCACATTTTTCATCTAAGTCTTCTTCAATATCGGTTTCTAACTCCGATTCATTCCGAATATCTATTTCATCATCATTCAATTCTAATAATGCTCTAGTATGATCAATTAATGACCGACTTTCATTATCATCAATGTGCATGATATTGTGTTGACCTTTTATTTCATTTTCTTGAAAGGGTTCGATATTGGTTTGATCGACGGTAACGGATATTTACGGCACATCAATCGTCGGCCTTGGTTTAACCTTACATATTGCCAACCAGTCTCGTGGTATGCGTTTACATGTAGGATATGTTACATAATACACTCGATGCACTTATGATCCTAGTATGAATGGATCGGATCTATTTGAATACCTATGACTATGAACCTCAACTAGTCCATAATGATCATGAACTCGTGTATCGATACCGGGTGTTGTATCATACCAATCACATTTGAACAAAACTGTTTTCTTTATTGGTAAGGCTAGATACTCAAGTTCGAGTATGTCAATCAACCTACCGTAGTAGTCATTTTCCACCACACCGTAGCTAACTCCTTTAACACACACTCCACTACACATTGATGCTCTCTCCGAACCACCAACATCGATATGAAACTTATATCCATTTATAATGTACCCCGCATATGACTTCGTAGTTCGCAATGGTCCTTTGGCCAAATCTTTAATATAATGATCCGTTATAGTTTTAGGTTGTGCTCGAGTTGCTCGTATGTAAGGATCGAGTTACTTATAAGGTAATGTTATAATAAAATTTGATAAAATAAATTTATGAATATTTAATAACAATCTTGACAGTAGAAATACTCATATATCGATGGAACCATGATGCAAATTGGTTTTGAAGTCGAAAATCAACCTCGTTTTTCGATATGTCGAGGTCACTTTCATAAAGTTGATCGATAAAATATCCGACGATAAAAATATTGTTATTATATGTTCATAAATTGAATGGTTGTTAAAGAATAAATGTATAGTAATATTATTTGATAGTAATAAAACTTACTCCGTGTACGGTGTGACCTCATCACGGTTCAATAGAATTTAGGTGTGCGCTACATTCTTTTCTTGATCCGTCGGGACATGTGATCATGCTCGACCAAGAGGTCTACCTTTAGGAATGAATATTGCTAACATACCTTCAATATTTTCATTCGGTTCTCGATCGCAGTCAAAGTTTCTAGACACTTTTCGATGCCTAGTGTGTACATGAGGCTCAAAGTAATATGAATAGAACATTGAAGCTTCCTCAACTAAATATGCATTGCATATTGACCCTTCAACTACGGCTTTGTTCTTAATATTATTTTTTAATTTGCGAAGGTACCTACAATAATATTGTGACTTCATTAGACTTAATCAATATTTGACGAGTTATAAACTTACGTATGTCCACTAAAATCATTAATTTGTACCTTTCAAATGGATACATCCATCGATATTGTACGAGTCCGGCTATTTTTACTTCATATGCCAAGTGTATAGGAAGATGCTCCATTGAGTCGAAAAAACTAGGTGGGAAAATACGCTCTAATTTGCACAAGATTATTGGTCTATTTTCCTCAAGATGGATCATATCTTCAACCTTAATCACAATAGATGTTATTTCCTTAAAGAATAAGCTAAGCTCGGTGAGTGATTGTCATATATTTGTTGGTAACATATCACGAAATGCAATAGGTATTAGCCTTTGCATAAATACATGACAATCATGACTTTTCATGCCACGTAATCCGAGGTTATTCATATCTACACACCTTGCCAAGTTAGAGACGGATCCGTCCGGAAACTTTAGTTGTTTAATCCATTCAAGTAATTGTATTTTTTGTTGTTTGTCTAGAGTATAACGGGGTTTTGGTATTTTCTAGAGTTTTCACCTATTTCTAATTCGGACCGTCGACAATATAGCTTTAAGTCTTCTCTTGAATTTGCATTGTCTTTTGTTTTTCCCGAAACATTCATAATTTTATTAAACACATTGTCGAAGACATTTTTCTCAATGTGCATGACATCCAAATTATGACGTATTAGATTAGAACTCCAATAATGTAGGTCATAAAATATACTACGTTTTTTTCAATCATAATATTTAGATATATTATTATTATACTCATCGGATCCCTCTTCCGTTACTTTCAACAACACCCAATTGTTTAATTCTTGTAAAATTTTAATTCCGGACTTTATCGGTGGAGCAATGTCCGTAACAACCGAATTTCGCTTAAACGGATTGCGTTATGATAGAAACTTTTGATGGCAATCAAACCATGAAGTTTTCCTCCCGTTTCGAAGGGTGAAAGCATCCGAATTTTTCATACAATACGGGCATGCTTGTCTTACCCCCGTACTCCAACCCGATAATATTGAATATGCGGGAAAGTCACTAATTGTCCACATGATAGCGACTCTTTTGAAAATTATCTTTACGGGACACATCATAAGTAAGAGCACCTACTTCCCATAATTCTATCAACTCTTTAATTAAGGGTTGTAAGTATACGTCTAAATTGATTTTAGGGTTCTTAGGACTAGGGATAATAATAGTTAAGAACATATATTCTTCTTTCATATATTTTCATATTGGCAAATTGTATGGCGTTACAATGACAAGCCACGAAGAAAATTGTTGTCCGGACTTACCAAACGGTTGAAACCCATCAATGCAAACACCTAATCTAACATTTCTAATTTCGATGCAAAAGAAGGGTTGGAGTACTGGGCGTAAATTATTAAGAAAATTAACATCGTACAAGTACCAAATGCAGCTTTAATTTTTTTTTTTTTTTTTTACTTTTGTCATTGTGAAGAATATATGTATTCAAGCACTTCCCATTGCTACATACAAACAGCTTCGCTGGTAGCTGGGGCTTTCAATTTTATCATTACTACCTAGGAAGAGTAGATAGATGTACCCACTCTTCAAGGCTTCATCAATTGCCCAAGTCCAACCATGCATGGCTGATACTCTTGTCTGTTTTTATTATATAATAGGATTACTGTTGGATCAGTTTTTTATGTTCTAAAATAAATTAATTATGTCATTTTATTTTAATTGAATTTTTAATTTTTTTAGCTAAATTATTAGAAAAAATCACATGATTAATTTTTGCAAGTCACGTTTTTTTTTAAAAAAAAATTAATTATGTACTAGTCACATAACTTTTTTAAATAATTTAGCTAAAAAAAATCATCAAATGAGAAATTGAAAATTCAATAAAAATATATTAACATAATTTATTCAATTTAAGATATAACAATACATGAGACACCGATTACAACATATAAACCAGACTGACCCATTTCCTCAGCATGCATCTATCCCCCTCTCATATAAATTGCATCTCTTTTTGTGCCTGCCACAACCTAACATGCTACGTATATCTCGCCAACTTTAACAGCATCCAACTTGAAGAACAACTTTGTCTTTCGGTCTTTAACTTCATTTTTCTCTCCTCTCTACTCATGGCACCCAAAAATAGCGATGCGTCCGCTAAAAAAGTTATGAACAAAGGAGCATGGACGGCTGAGGAAGATAAGAAACTAGCTCAGTGCATTGAACTTCATGGTGCAAAAAGGTGGAAAACAGTCGCACTTAAATCAGGTTATAAAATCACATTTCCAGTTTTTACTCGTATAACAATTAGCCACTTAATTTTAGCGACTGCATTTTGTTCGGGTTTCGAATAGTTAGTGTTTTTCCTTCTTTGTTCGATGAGTGAAAATATTCTTCGTTTATGAAAAAGGAAACAAAGGAGTAAATTGGAAGTACTGATAAGGAAGCTTAATTCCTTAATAGTTCTATACCCCAATTCCTAGCTCTATTAATTAACAACTTTCCCCGTATGAAGTATATTAATCAAAACTTGTGCTCTATGCGAGATGGATTTTCAAATTTTCCATTATTTTTCAGGTTTAAATCGATGTGGAAGGAGTTGCAGATTGAGATGGCTAAACTATTTGAGGCCTAACGTCAAGAGAGGCAATATATCAGATGAAGAAGAGGACTTGATTATCAGGCTTCATAAGCTACTAGGAAACAGGTTATTTACTTACTAAACCCACAAAAGAAAGAAAAAGCATACTTACTACTAATTACTAGAGCTCTATTTATATACTCCTATATGGTCAACATAATAATTTGGGCTGTGTTTTTTTGATACTATTATAGAATTTGATCAACTGTGTTTTTTTTTTTTTTTTTGACCAATGTATATATATAGGTGGTCATTGATTGCTGGGAGACTTCCAGGACGAACAGATAATGAAATTAAAAACTACTGGAATTCTCATTTGAGCAAGAAAATTATAAATCAAACTCAAAAGGAGAAAATGCCCGATGAGCCTTCCACACCCCAGACCGCCATGCCCCAGAAGAATCAGTTCAAGGAAGAGGGCACGAGAGAAGCTTGGAACTTGGAGGCTTACAACTTCGATGTCAACGACTTCTTTGAATTCTCCACTGAAGGATCCTCTGGTTTGGACTGGGTTAATAAATTTTTTCAATTTGATGGGGATCAGTGGCTCCGCGTTCGAGAAGAGGTGAGAATTGTGTGATGTACTATAGTAGGTGTTTTGTCCTTGTGTTAAAAGAATGACACCTGATGTAAAGCTAGAACTAATAAAAGTTGCTCTTTTTTTAAACAATATGATGTGTTTTTTTTTTTTTTTCTATTTAAATTTTCCCAGAATGAAGCAGCATTTAATTTTTTATCAAGCTCGTGTTGTTACTGAAAGAAATAAACCATTAATCTAATGAACACTTTCCATCAGTACTCCTGCCCAAAATCTTGGACGAACAATTAAAGTATATCAAACTAATGGAAGTTAATTAGCAATCAAATTAACGATCACAGATCAGGCTCAGGCTCTTGAGAAATAAAAATACTGTCATGAATTTTTTAATTTCGACTTGAATGGCTTTTTTCTGATTAGATTGGAAAGATTAATAAGGGATTTTTAATATGTTAAAAGTTAATTAATCCAAAATATCTCTAGCTATAAAACAACAATAACAACAACTATAATAATATTGTCATGAGACAACGAGACGTAATTCAACTAATAATATTATTTTTTTCTTCGTTTTGAATTGAAACATCTCTTTTACAATAAAACAAAATAATGATAATGATAATAAGAATAATGTTATGAGAAATTTTTTCATGGGTAATGTGCAATGAGACCGAAGTTTGACTTAATAAGGCACAAGATGCCAATTCTTGAAAAAAAAAAAAAAAAAGATCAACGCAAACAACAATTTTGTTTATAGTCATTGCATGTTTCATTATAATAGTACCGAAGCTCAAGTACTCTTCCTTCTACTTCCCCGAAAGGGAGAGTTCAAAACGATACCTGTTTATATTTTTACTATTGTTAGTTCAAAAGTCCATTGGTAATTAAACATACAGGTTAAATCATCAATCTTCTAGAGAGAAATTATTGAGGGTCATAGCACAAACAGTTAGATGATTGTAATTATTTTACAGAAAAAAAAAACTGTAAATAATTACGTGGTGGTCTCCAGAATTTGGTTCAAAGTATTGAATTATTATTATTTTAATTTTTGAAGTCATTAAGGGAATTTGATCTCATTCACATTGCTTGGCGCCAAAGTAATTAATTAATTCCCCTTCATTTATATGTTTTGGAAGAAACTAAACAGTTATAGCCATCATGATGGGCATGAGAATATTTATGGCTATTTGTTACAACATGCACGTTAGATGTTGCCTCCCAAGTAACAATTATTAACCTTAATTTGGGAATACAAAAGTTACTCTTTTGAGTAAATAATAATTCAGTCCTTCTGTTTTTAAAAATATAATAAGTTAGTCTATCTAGTTTCAAAAAATATAACTTAGTCCCTTGATTGTACGCTAACTTACGCATCTATGATTGCTAATTCTTTTAAACCTCCCTTAGCTTTTTAATAAAATTACCAAACCGCCCCTAGGTCTCTTTCAATTAATATATAATCAAAAGGTATTTTGGGAAAAAAATATATAACTAAATTGATGGCAGCTCAACATCTTAGTAACAGACTTAAAAGAGGGACTAAGTTATAAACAAAAATAAAAACATAGGGATGCGATATTAAGTTTTCTAAACTAGAAGGACACTAATTTTTTTTGCAAAAACACAGGGACTAAATAATAAATTACACTAATTTTTTATTTTTAATAAATGAAGACAGTTAGGGGTCAAAGGAATTTAACTCGATGACGTTAACAAGACGTAAAACACGTAAATAATATTTTTTTCAGCTTGTAACATGTGATAAAATAATAATAATGGTGGTGTTAGTAGTAGTGATAGCTAAAATTTACAGTGACCAATGTGCGCTATTCTCAAATATGAGATGCCATCTAACCATCCTAATATTACAGCAATTGGGATACGACAAATAGTTCATTTATCAGCTGTAAAAAATTGCCAAATCTAATTCATTTAATTCTCTGTCTAAAATGCAGTTGGCTACGCCTTGAAATGGTCCTCTCGAGCTCATTGATATCGAATTGTTCACTTAACATGAAAAGAATGGAACGAAGAAGATAGTTTTGGAGCTCCCTGGCACCTTTTTTAATGTAATTTAATACGGAAACATTGATTCCACAACCATCTGTTTGTCCCTGGAATCAGTATATTTCTTAATGTACAACCACAAAGCAGGCTCTGCTGTCTTCTCTGCCTGTAAAATCTGGAAATGTAAATTTTGATAGCAAAACTAGCATCACGACTGAGAAACACGAAATTCTAGTCACAAGTTTTCCCCCCTGCCATGCCTTCTATGATATCAAATTTGCACCACACCACACTATGTATGGTTGTAGGTAACTAGGTATGGAAGACAAAATTTGAGTTGAAGCTCCAGCTAACAATCACATATCAGGTTACGACTTCCGAAGGGTCCAGCTGCCATTTTACATTGCTTAGAATTAAACGCTAAGTTCAATCATTTGGGATAAGAAATCCAATCTCCTCCATTTCATGGTGTTTGAGCACTGGGAATAGCGACAAAGCACCAACATAATGGAACAAGCTAAAGGCTGGACCAATAACTAATCCTAGGCAAAAGACCAGTGTTCATTTATTGAAGGCAAGTGAGGTCGCAGCTAACAGTCATAGACTATCCAGAAAAGCAGATTTATGACGGTAAAGATACTGCAATCTGTAAACCACACTGTACATACCTGCATCATAAATTCTCATCTGTCCTTGGCTTTCTTCCAATAATTATTCATTTCTGCCTTTTCAGTTGAAAGTACATGGATATCTTAACGTCAAACCATTTCCAGGGACCACGATAGTTTTTTCTGTGTTGATTCATAAGCCTCCATCTCATCAGAATTGATACTAGCCATGTGGAGAGACAGATTCTTTTCAGCTCATCATCGATACTTAGCTGTACTTTCCCCAAGTAATGTACACCAAGTTGAATTACTGTGATTGTGGGATTTGAATCTGGTTCAACCGGCTAAACCAAATGGAATGCAGAATCATGTGGAACAAATCATATCTGAGTGGTCTTGGGTTCCAAAGAAAATGCTTTTGCACCATCTTCAAATTAGCCAGCATTGTAAGATATCTTCTCAATGGGATAGCCAAAAGAATCTCCTTCAGTTCTGGGATATCCTTCTCAGCTACAACAACAGAGAAGGCATTCCAATCCAAAATTTCACTGAAAGGAAGAACAAAATTGTCAGCAATGATGACTGGAACACACTCGTAATAAATAGCCTCGACGATCCGAGGGCTGTTAACTTCATAGCCCTTTGGACATAGACAATACTTGCTAGATTTCATGTGTTGAACATAAGTCATCTTTCGAGATACACCAATGGGTAGTGGCCCATATATTTTCATGTCATCATCTTTGTTGTGCCAGTACTTCAGGAGTTTCGGTCGGACCCTACCATGCATATTTCCAGCAAAGAAGGCAAGGATTGGGCGCTGTGATACCCTTACCCCACCACCAACATTTCTTAGAGGTCTTTTGGGAGTCCTTATGGTAGTTTCAGGCAGGGAAACATCCTGGCCAGCAGTAAAAATACCTTCAGATACGTCTGCATTGCATAAAGCTTTTATGGTGTTTTTGGTTAGTTCCTTGTGCATTGTCAAGGTGTAAGGTCCCTGTATGAGAATAGAACAGAGGAAGATTAGGTTAACAAAACATAATGACAGTTAGTTGAACAATATTCGAGAAAAAAGATTTCAGCATTCTCAAAGTCATTGATAAAATCTCTAAGAACAAAATTCATATTTCAAAAGAGGTATCAAGCTGCACATGTGCGTATGTGTAGATATTCAAATGAGGAAAATCCAACTTAGGAAGATAAGTGAAAGTTGAACCGAATCAGGCAGCAATGACCCCACTCGAATTGGACTTATCAATTACTCAGCTGAGGATGTTGGTTCTGAAACCAAGCTTTGACATTGATATGCAACAACTTAAGGTAAACATTTGCATTTGAAGCTTTTTATCTGATATATCAGGTTCAACATCCAAAGTAATTATTGTATTCTAGTGACACTTCTGGAATCTTCATAATTCAAATTTAGTGATTTTATGCATTTGTGCACAAGCACTTGTCTGTGCCCAGGTGAGAGAGAAGACAAAGAGATGGATCCTCCCATAAACTCGTACAGTTGTAGTAGACATAAAATTTAAATTAAACATCCTAATACTCTTCACATTTACCAATGACATGACTTTATAATAGGAAAAGAATCCAATTGTTTCCAATGCAGAATGCTTAACATTTTCCTGACATAAATTCAGTGTGAAGTAAAAAGGAATAAAAGCTGTTTTTTGTTTGAAGCATTTATAATTTATCTTGTACCTGAAAACCAATAACCCAATAGATAAGTCCATGTTTAAATTAAAGAAAACAAATGGTCAATGAGTAAAACAGATGAGAATAGAAATACTGATATGTCTTTGATGACTATAATTACCTGATTATATGTTGGACAACAATTGAATGCTTCTGGATATATCTACCCTATGAATTCATAGACTTTAAGGAAATGGAACTGAAATTTCTATACCATCTCAAATTGCTTTCATTTTAACTTCAAAGATTAAGAATGTCTTTGCACTTGGCTGCTCAATGACACTTGAACTAAGCCAGTTTGATTGACCATCTTGAATGGGCACTTGTCAAAGGCAGTCACCAATGGACTTGATACGAAAAACTATAAATATTGTGTCATGTCATTTAATTGTTGGAAAAACTCCTAGTCAAGATGATAAATTCATGACTTCCCTAGACCAAACAATAATAATTCCGAGGATTGCATCTCTATGTTTTCACAAAGGCAGAAACAGGGAATCTACTATTAGACTATAGAGCAGCTATCAGTACTCACAAAATCCAATTGGAGATCTACAGACAAGATAAGAGATTACCATACCCAGTCATGGCACGCAACAAGAAAATGATCCAATCCATGTGTGCGGTTCCAAAATGGATACTTTGCAGCAATCATGTTTGCATAGTCTCGCATAAAGATGGACAATGGTCTCAAATTATGTGAATTAGGCACATAAAGTGCTAACTCCAGCTGGCGTGCGCTGTATGGAAGATAAAATAAATGAGCCTTTTCTGGATCCCTAGTGACAAACTCCCTGCTTGCCTCCATAAACTTCATAAACCATCCTTCAGAAGCATAGATTCCATAGAGATGTGGTTCATGAAAGATGGGCCTATCTCCATCTGGGTAGATGTAAACTTTAAGTATCATTTCCATCAACTCATAGCTCCTGAAATTCAGGAAGAACTTATTTTTAAACACATGTTTTTCAAAAGCCATGGACAACAATAGAATCAAGCTGAATAACATATGGCATTGAAGCCTTTGGAGGCCAAACTAGAAATAATAAGTTGACGTTTAGAACAACTACAGGTACGCTAGCACTGTGGAACAAAGAGGGGAGATGGAAACTAACAAGACAAAACAACCTCAACCACTTATTTGTTTCAATTAGTTTGAAGAAGTTCCAAGCAAGCGTCAATCTCCTTCACTACTTAAAAAAGTCATATTGTATAGAAGTATTTTTATTATGATTATCATGTGTTTACTGTATGCAACAAAAGAAGAGAAACTTCTGTCATGGCAATTCACAAGGCAGCTTGGACAACAAGTTTCGTGAAGCTTGCAGGGAATCATAGGCTTGTCCAATTGGCTGACCTAATTGTTAAATATCATAGCGTTTCATAAATGGAGAAAATTAACAAGGGCTCAGGTAATGATATTCTATTCACAAAATACACACTAGGTTCAGTTCAGTGACTTGGGAAAAGAAACCTCCAAGTACTAGATTATAAGGAGATATATAGACATTACTCTACAAGTTCGATAAATGGAAAAGATGAAAGTGAAAACATACTAAATCAATTCAAAACTTAACATGAATACCTGACAAACAATTGGCAAATGCTCAAAAATAAAATTACTAGGCTTACATCATGACAGAAGACATATAGACCTGACTCTACAAGTTCTATAAGTAGGAAGATGAAAGTGAAAACCTGCTAAACCAATTCAAAACTTAACATGAATACCTGACAAACAATTGGTGAATGCTCAAAAATAAAATTACGAGGCTTAAATCGTGACAGGAAGGATTCCTATGCCATTACTTGATTATAGCATATTTATCATGGTATTAAAATATCTCTGTTCTTCCCAAAAGCATGGCGGGCAAAAGGAGAATCTTTATTTGGACCTAATATGAGTAAATTGGTGGGACTGAGGCCTCAGAAAGTGTCCTTTAAACTGAAAAAAGATGGATGTTTTATTGTCATAACAAAGCAATTATGCAGCAATTATTCTTTGACTGCCTATTTGCAATGCAAACTGGTTAGAGAGACAGTGGTATTTCTACATCTACTGGATAACAGGAAAATTAATTTTCTTGGAAACCTCTGAATGAAAAGAATTATGCCGTTTAATTTGAAGAGAAGTGATTGAAGGAAAAGTTTATCACGTCTGGACAGGGAGTATAACAAATGTGCTCATTAGAAGAACTCAGAATAATCAGACTGGTATCATGTTAAGCTGAATAACACAAACACAGATCTGAAAATGAGCAACAAAGACTACACAACCATGAAGCATAAGACTACACCAATTCTTTTTTCTCAACCTAAGCAACATCCATTGCTAAATTCTTCACAACCATGTGTTTTCTCTTTCCCTCACTCCTTTTCAGGCTGCTTTGCACTTGCTGCGATTCAAATCTCATCTCTCAACTAAAGACTTATACATATCTTTATATTAAGTGAACATGACAAACCCAGTTGAACTAGTTCTTTAAATACTACTAAATCTACCCCCTTGCAATTTATGTCTTTCTATTTTGTTTTCTTTATCAAAATCATCCATTCACATCCCCCTTTCAACTTTCATATACACAACCAACAATGAAATGCATATTTGTCTCCCTAACTTAATATGAACATATTGACCATAATTCATAGTATCTTGTAACTTATGAGACCACAAACTACCAACGAGTAAAAAGAATGAACATGGGGGAAAAGCATTACTTACCTCTTGAAAACAGAAATGTTCCGAAATATAGAGGCACTCAGATAAGGATCGTCAGTAACCACTGGGGCACGCTCAATCTCCTTTTTAGCATATAAAAGTGCATCATTCGATGACAAGGACCGAATGTGTCTCTGAATTATATGAAAGGGAAGAAAAAAGATTATTTGTAACACCTCCCTTTATCATGATTCCCAATGACAAATTTTAGGTTACAATACTCAATGGCTGTACCTGCATGCGAGGAGGTATAGGACTACGAGGAGGAGGAAGAAACACCTTTAACTCATCATTTTCCTTACTCTTCTTCTTTCTCCTTTTTAAAACAGATTTTTTCCTTTGAGTGGCCGTGGCTCTTTTATTCCTAGATGGCACTATTGTATTCAGAGAAAGAACTGAAGAAGCAGAGAGAGGAGGAAATTGTTGAACTCTTGCTTCAGTAACAGCTTCTCTTAACTGCACACTACCATTCCAAGGCATGTATGATGAACCAGCTAGAGGTGGAGAAAGAAACCCCATATTCACTGCATGAGGAAATGCAAAAGTGGGAACCAAAATTCCAACTATTGTCATTACCACACCAAGGAACAGCAGTTTTCTCCAATCAACTTTGTTCCATACGCAACGCCATAATAATTCTCTCATCACAACAACAATGGTGCGCCACACTAATTGTTTCATCGAATCATGAAAGAACAGTACTTCTTTTTTCCTAACCATAAAAGTAGTGATAACGCTAGCAAAAAAATTCCCTCATATATAGGATGAACATATAAATCTAGGCCATCCCTCAATAAAACAGGGAATAGAGATTTTGAAATTTCACAGAATTGGTTGCCAAAGAAGGCAAGCACAACATTACAACAATCGGTGGCAGTGCATGAAAATGCAAAATCTTGATTTGTCTCACGAATTATAGCCTTCAAATTTACAACTCCATAGGGCCAGCTTCTTAAACAAGGAACTGAAACCATCAATCAAGTGATAACAAAATTGAGAAATTTCAAACATTACTCAATTTAATCGGAATTACAATTTTTTTTAAAAAAAAGTATACTTGCACCATCTTAACAACATATGTTGCAAATTGGCAATGTATAGATTAAGTAACATGGGAAATACTTTAGATAGTCACCACAACCCAATCTCCAATCATCCGTACATCAGCGCATCTCCAAATTTGAAGTTTCCACTTGATTACTAGTTTTGGCTCATTTATATTTATTTTTCAAAAAGCTTATATTTATTTTTCAAAAAGCTTGAGGCAGACTAGCCTGGTGTTTAGATTCATTTAACTTCAAAATCATCGAATTCATATCTGATTTTTACAAATTATAGATCGTAACAACAAATTCAATAGCATGCTTTTAATATTTTATACCAATAAAACTCTCCTTGTATTTCAAGACTAACCTATCCAAACTGTTAAGCATCTCGCTATTAAGGAGAGATTAATCTGAGAACCCAAATTAAGCAGAAATATTAAAATTCAAAAGTAATTAGTCACTTCAAAAATAGAAAAATAACTGCGAAAAATAAAAAGAAATAAAGGAAATACCTGAGCTTGGAGGAGGAGGATGAGATTGAATAACGAATGTAATGTGTGAAATTGGAAGGAAATGGTTGAGATCTGAAAAGTTATAGAAACGGAAAGAAAGAAGGAGAAAAGGGTGTGTACAAGTGGAGGGAAAGAAAGGAAAGCATTGCCTTTGCAAGAGACGCGGTAAACTGACCGTTGTGGCTTATATAGATTTTCTCAATTCTGAATTTTCTTTCATCCTTTCAATTTTTCTTATCTTTAAGAAAAAAGTTTTATAAGGTGTTCTTAATTAGTTGCCTCAGCTGTACAAAATAAATTAAATATTCTTTTTAGTTCCAAAAACTAATTAATTGCTCATTGACTACTCTGATCGTATGTAATTTAATATTAATTTATTTTAAAAAAAATCTTCTTTTATAATTAATATTTTCATAATATCTTTTTTTATTTTTTATTTAAATACAAAATAAATCAGAAAATTATATAAAATTAACGAAAGTGGCTAATTAGTTGGTTTTAAAAAATTAAAAACTATTTTTTTGTTTTGAAAAATTAAAATGACTGATTTATAATTTATTTCGTTTGGCATCTCCCCCTCTTGCCTCTAATGATTCTTTTTTCTTTACATAATTTGCGTTTTGTAAAATGATATATATATATATATAAAATGTTTATTCATAAAGTTAAGAATTCGAATCTTACTTATTGTAATTTGTAGTTGATGACATATCTATATATTTATAAATAACCGTAACTATTATGGAAAAGACTCTAAACTTTGACTCAAACATAGGTGTGGTGGGATCTTTTTAAATAAAAGAATGGTGTGACATGGGTGCAATATTTCCTATAGGGAAAGTGTGATAGCTCATCTACCGTTTTATTTTTATTTTACAAAACAAAGAAAGAAAAAAAATTCTCCTTGGTAGTATTTATAGTCCATATGATTAATACATTTTCTCAATCTATTCAAGTATTTGGTTCCTAAACGATAATATGGTGAAGCACAATCATTTAATAACTAGGCCAAATCTTCTACGTTATTAGTGCACTAGTATTTGATATGTGTATTGCTGCGAATTCAGTTTATAATTACATATGTTTGTTAAGATCACGTGTTGTTTTTCTTCCATATGTTAAAACTCTATGTTATTTTTCTGTTACATATACTAAGATTTTGTTTTATCATCTTATTTAATTTAATTTATGTTTTACATGGATGGAAAAATATTTTAGTACAAATCCCTCCTTTCAATTTTAAACCATTTTTATAAACCAAAATACTAAAATGATGATTTGTTGATGTTGTAAATCATATTTTTTTTTAATATATTTGTTTAATTTAAATATTATTTTCTTTACTTGATTAATTTTTTTTTATGTAGATAGACTCGGTTTGTTTGTTTGATATTTAATAATATTGTTTAAATTTTTCAGATGATTTTTCAGTTTGATTGAATTCTTATTAACTAGTTTATTACCACTTTTTTATATGAGAGAAACCATAAAAAGAAACAGACCAGACTACGTGTCACCTGTAAAAAAATTCATCTTTTCATTGTTGTATAGTATAGATTGGAGCAAATGACTTTTGTTGATCCATCATTGCCTTTATTCTTCCATTCAATTTCAATGTTCAAATATAAATTAGAAATTTTATTATTGTGATGCTGATTAACAAGTATATATATTGAAGGATTGTCTAATGACAGATATTTAAACATGTCAGGTGGCTTAATAGGAATTATCTTTTTTTTAAAAAAATACGTGTCTTAAAAAAAATTATCAACACCACCCTTTTTAACCAAGACTGTTAAAGTCAAACCAGGTCGGCCAATCCATCCAAGACTTACATGAATCAATCACTAAGCTGGTTTGGTTATATTCTAAAACTCTTAATGGATCAAAACCAAATGAAATCGTGACCACCTTTTGTGGTTTCATTGTAAGAAATTCTAAACTTAAGGCAGTGGAATAAAATGTCCCTTGGTTCAAATGCTGCACTTAACAGGCCTGGTAGGATTTTATACCTTATAGGACTATTTGTAGAGCCTTGGCCTGCACAACACTAAATAAATGGTGGATTATTTACAGCGAAGACAACTTCTATTATATATGTTTTTACCGATGTTTTATAATTTTTTTCCACTTCTCTTTAGAATGATAGCGTTTTAAGGTGCTAGAAGGGTAGAATACCAACTCCTTACTCATAGCACTGAGTTACGATTAAATGCACTTATATCACAATAACTTTTTTCTCACGGGGTATCATGGTTATATATTAGTTGGATATCCGAATTGCACCACGATCAGATAATTATGTATGTAAAGTTAATAATTTATATAGCATAATGTGGATAAAAATTTTATTTCTCATAATTAATGTAAATCAAATCTATTTGCTAAGTAAAATATTTTGATTTATATGTATTTATTAACAAAATAATCAATAATATTAGCATAAAAAGTTATATTTAAATAATTGAAAGGTTCTTTCAAAACATTATTTCAATTATTTTATTTAAAAATTATTAATTTTAGAACATAAAAAAATAAATAACAAATAACTAGGGTTATGTGTGCAAATATATAATTAATTTATAACAAAACTAATGATATGTGTTTCAGTTATTTTATTTAAAAATATTAATTTTAGAATATAAAAAAGAATAAATTATAAATAATTATTGTTATTTATGCATATACATAATTAATTTCTAACAAAACTAATTGTGTGTGTGTGTGTGTAAATGTCTTTTTTCATATTTTTACTTATTTTTTTATTCTTTCTCTATTTCTTAAAAAAAAATAGAACCATTGATATTGCAAAAAGGGCAAAAAAAAATTAGTTTTTGAACTAAAGGGATTGATGGTATTATGTATGTAAATGCATAATTAATTTCCAAAAAAATTATATATATAAGAAATGGTAACAATAATCAATAATATTAGGTATAAAAACATGTATATGAATTATTAGGTGGTTCTTTTAAAATATTATTTTATTTAAAATAAAATAAATTTAGAATATTAAAAATAATTAATAGTGCTATAAAAGAAATGGTAACAATAGTAGAATTGAAGAAAGATGATAAGAAAATGAATTCACGATAAGATAAAGTGAATACAAGAGATAACAATTCAAAATAATCTCTCAATCTCTCGCAAAATACTTGTACATAAACTAATGAATAATTAAGCCTATTTATAGGCTTCAAGATTAAAAAGAGAATTTGAAAGGATTATGAACCATTAAAAGATGCATAAATAATTGAATAAATTACATAACCCTTTCAATTTCTCATATTGAATGATGAATTGAATCATACGAATAGTGGGGACATTCATTATTTCATAACAAAATAAGAAATAGTTGGTGTTATATGTAGAGATGCATAATTAATTTTTAATAAAATCATTGATCTCAATACTTTTTGTATACATCATTACCGTACTATGTACAAATTAAAAAATATGTTTTAAAAAACTTAAGTTGTAAGAAATATATTAAAGTTAATATAGTGCAATAAAAATAATTTAAAATTTTATTTCAAAAAAATTGATTATATCAAGAATAAGATAAAGAAACACGTGAATTCTATTATTTAAAAAAATATATATATTAAAAATTTATACATAGAGAAAAATAAATCATATTTATTAACAAATAAAATTTCATAAAAAATTTAATTTGATGAGAATGCTTATAATAAACGACAAATTTAAGAGATTAATTTTAATCAATAAAAAAATATAATTCTATATATGTGTTTGTTCTAGAATTTAATAACATAAGAGGTAAAAATATTTTTTTTAAATATGAGGAACAAAAAATATATTTTGAGAAAAAAGCAAGGCAAAAATGGACTAAATTAAAAATAGGAGATTTCAAAATATTTTTAAAAATATGAGGATTTAAAAATAGATTTTGAAAACATAAATGATAAAAAATTTGAAGTGTAAAATTTAAAAATGAATGCAAAAAAAAATCTATAAAGAAATCACAAAAATACCTTTATAGAGAATCATAAAAATGCCCGTCGATCAGCCTCTTTCCTTGTGCCAATCAGTCGTAAAGGTGTTTTCTAAAAGACATCGATTACTAACTCGAAAAAGAAAATTCTCCCTAGTGAGTAAAGTT